CATCCACACCCACACCCACACCCACACCCTTCTGGGTGCTGGGTGCCTGCACTTTCCCCCTTGTGAAAAACTATATTGTTATTGAACGAAATTCTTTTGCTGTAGTCCTTAAACAAACGACTTTATGGAGGATATTTATCTCTTTTCTTTTGTTGGCTCTTCGTTCGAAACTATATGTATATCCTATATTGAATAGAGCAATACAATTTCTATTTAAACGAGTGAAATAGAAAGAAAAGAAAATCGGCTATTTGATTTGATATTCGATGTGTTCATCAAATACCTTTTTATTTTACATGAAACAATATTTCCAACAATATCATATATTCAATGGTAAATTCAAATGTGTAAAATATAATGAAATATTTGATGAATGAAACTGATCTTAAATGATCTCAACAAACAGTTGAAAATATTCATAACAATCATTTTTGTACCTGTATATCATAATAATAGCTGATGAGTGACTTGTTCCATGGAGTTTCTATCACGTAAACGGATGATTTCTTCAAGTTGACACAAAGTTATGCTTTATTGTAGAACTCGATAAATTGTATCTATAGTGGAAGTGATGTATGATTGTTACTATTACCAATCGGTAATTGGTAATAATTATTATTACTTTATTACTAATTACTTTTTATAACCATTTACTTTGTTTTTATCGTTTTGATGATATCCAGGCTTATATTGTTTCGTATTGGTGAAATATAAAGTAGTTCGTCATACATAAAAAAACCTTTTAAAAGTAATAAAAGAAATTAGTAGTAACAAGTAACAAATTATTACTCTAATAAAGGAATAGCAAAACACTAAATCCAATAGGACAATAATAGAAGGAACAGGTAAGGCAGATTGTATAAATATTATTTATAGGTTAAATATTATTTTGTAGATGTCTTCAGAAACGTTGATTGCATAGGAAAAAGAATATACCAGCATGTGTCTCGTGAGATTCTTTTATATGCACATTTGCGAGATTGCATTTTTATTTTTTTTACTTGAGAAAATGTGTTGAAATAAACTTTGGATGTTTGTTTTAGAAGGAAATGATTATAAATGGTTTATTTAGCTAATAAAAAAAAGATTCGAGTTGCTGTGGAACACATATCTTGTATTAACAAAAATCTTTTACAGTACAAAAAGCAACTATATCAGGGTATTGAGGCTTTATTATTCAATGATGTTGTTTATATGACAGACTTTCGTCTTTTCTAAATAATAAGATATAATGCTTGTATCTGTTAAGGTTGGGGTGTAGGTGTGGGTGTGAGTGTGGGTGTGGGGTGTGGGTGTGGGTGTGGAGTGTGGGTGTGGGGTGTGGGTGTGAGTGTTTCTGAGGGTGATTGTGGGTGTGGGTGAGTGGGTGTGCGGATGGGTATGAGTATGCAGCTTGTCTTCATTCACAACTCCGCACCCCCAGCCCCACACCCACACCCCACACTCACACCCACACCCTACACCCACACCCCACACCCACACTTCATACTCACACCCACATCCGCAAGTACAGACAATAAGTGATGCCAATATCTTATTCCTTATTGTATTCAACCAATTGAATCATCGATTAGTCATGGTTTCATTTATTACGTGATGAACTATATCAAGCCATATCATTATTATTATCACTCAACTTCAGTAGACGTGTTTTTATCATAAATTATCACCAAGAGTCTAGCGAGTAGAAGGCAGATGACAACACCGAAGCAGACACATAGTGTAACTAATTTGGATTTTGCACTGGGAATTTGCCAAATAACTGATGTTACATTGGTTCGATCGTAGAAACACGTATAACTATTATTGATCTGCACAATGAAAGAGATTTTACATTTCTAGAATTTTGAACAGACAAGATTTTATACCTGTACTTGGGAATGTCGTTCTTTACGATTTATTGAAACATATACACTTGTGATATGAGTCTTATTAAAGATAGGATAAGACATAGAAAAGTTCTCATCAATACATCTATAATGCCAACATGAGTCTGCATCACATCTTTGACATTGATGTTCGAATGTTGTGTAGTTGAGCAATAGACAGCTCGACTTTGTGTAATTGATGTAAAGAGCTTCGGTTTGACGAGTTTTTATATAAGATCTAGCTTCGATGGGACCGATGATGAGACACGGAATAGAAACTATGGTGCCTAAAATTACCAAGCACCATCTTGTCCTGATACATATCCAACGACCCATAGTAAATACTGAAGCTTTTCTTTGTAATTGCTTGTACAGTATACAAATGTTGTACTCTGCTGTTAGCGTAGACTACTTTGAAGCTGAGCAATATTAGGTAGAAATAACGCCCATTAATATGGAGATATGTAAAATGACTCAATGAGTTACAATATCTTATCTCTTATACGCAAAAAAGCATTCTTAGAAAATAAAATGTCGAGAAACTTTTTATCGCCATTTGCAAAGTTGAGTTATCGAAATTGCAACATTCCGCGAATGACTTCATCTCCTAGATTGTTGTTTTTTACTCTCACGAGGGAAGGTCCCCAAGTGCCACGCTCCGTTTTGAATCGGACATATGCCATTTTGTAGAGCTCAGTGAGACTCGCAAAAGTTTAAAAGGGTTCTTCCCCATGGGCCTTGGGAGTCGAGTTATGCCTTTTCTACTGAATTTTTGACCATTTTTTCGATATTGAGCAGTAAATCAAACAACAGAGTTTTGATCTGAAATTTTGCCCATAGATAGGTCTAATCGTCTTTAGAATATCTTGAAAATTTCAGCTGAAAAGAATGTTCCTTTATCGAGATATTGGATATTCAAGTAGGTTGGCTTTTTGCGCCTTGTCTGTAAAAGCGATGATTTTTTAATAATTCAATATCTTGACAAAGGAACATTCTTTTCAGCTGAAATTTTCAGGATATTCTAAAGACGATTAGACCTATCTATGGGCAAAATTCCAGATCAAAACTCTGTTGTTTGATTTACTGCTCAATATCGGAAAAGTGGTCAAAAATTCAGTAGAAAGGGCATAACTCGACTCCCAAGGCCCATGGGGAAGAGCCCTTTTAAGCTTTTGCTAGTCTCACTGAGCTCTACAAAATGGCATATGTCCGATTCAAAACGGAGCGTGGCACCTGGGGACCTTCCCTCGTCAGCTTTGAAGCCATTATTATATCATAAATACGCAACACTGACATTTTATCGCATTGATCATATAATTCATCTTTATTTATTTTTATCAAGAGCTTTCGGTGCGATAAAATCGTGTATCCGCATTTGAGTATGTTCTTTTATGCACATCTGAGAAAATGCACGATTTGACAGTTGGAAATTCAATTTCAGGATTCGAAAGAGTTGTATCTAATTTATTGGCAAATCTGCCCAGTAAGAAACCTCATATATTATCGGATTTCCGCAGGAGAAACAGTTTGAGGTGAAACGATAATATTACTACTGTGCGAACTAAGACAAGACTGTTTACATTCAATTATTTACGAAAAAGGTTTCAGGGAAACAATGTTACTAGTTTTGTCCTTGGCTCCTAACGATAACATTGAAGAATGTTTTTCTGCTTATGATAGATTTACGCATCTTTTGAATTCACTCATGCCTTAAACCTGAGTTCGTTGCAGTTCACATCCACAGACCCGATAATTCAACTCGTTGCAGACAAATCACATTTCATATATTATTTTTTTTGTTCTTCTACTTTTTTATATAAAGTGTACAATATACAATAGTAAGAAACTCGAATGAGCCTTATTACGAAGTATTGCAATCATGCGTCAAAATATGTACTAAAGAGAAGTAGTTTTCATTGTCGCTTCAGAACCATTATTAGGATGCACTTTGTAACTAGAGAACTTCTTTTCGAACATTGTAGTCTTGAAAGCACATGAACATTCACGTATCCGGCGTCTTATATAAGCCAAGATTGCGACGAGTAGTAGAATGGTGGCACTGCCGAAGTATATACATAGTTTAACCAATTCGAGTGTTGCATCAGGAAGTTCCCAAACAACAGATGTTACATGTGCTCGTTCGTAGAAGCACGTGTAATTATTGCCGATCTGTACAAAATGACACATATGTTACATTTCTACTTATGATCTCCTAGCTAAAAAGACTTCATACTTGTACTTGTGTATGTCGTTTTGTACGACCTTTCGAAGCATATACGCTTGTGATACGGGTCCCATTAAAAATAGAATAAGACATTGAAAAATTCTCATCGTAACATGTCTCATATGAACAAGAGTCAGCGACACAGATTCGACATAAGTCTTTGATGAATGAATAGTCGAGCACGAGACAAGTCGAATTGTCGTAAAGAGATCGTGGTATATGGATTTTGACATACGAGGCAGCTGCGATCGAACCAGGAATAATGAATATAATGAAACCTGTCAAACCAACAGCTATACAAATTATAGCAATGTATTTGCGAAACCAATCACCCATGGTAAGCAATGCGTTTGTTTTAAATTGATTTTACGATGTGTATGGATAAGCTCTGCTATTTCTATGCTACTCCGACTATAGAATATCTCAATGAGTCAGAACTTTGTTTTTTCTTCCTCAAAAAAATGATAGTGCCGAAAGATGTTTTAAAATAAAGAATTGTCTTTGAAACTGCGTGCCTGTTATGTCATTTTCTTATCGTTAACACATCATAGGTTGAAGAATAATTATGACTCAATTTCAGAGATAAACGCAATTTTTCGCCTCTTATCGTACATAAACCGGATGAGGCATAAGTTTTGCAAGATTTTTTATTTCACATATATCTTGCCGCAGGTAAATGATAAAACCTTAATTTTTTTTAAAAAGATGCGCCTTGAAAAGCTCTACAAGAATAATATAACAAATCTATATTGACCTGTGCTAGTACTTTTTTCACACTCAAAATGCGAAACCTACATGATAGTTCTATGTCCCACTGTAATAAAAATGTCAGAAAGACTTTTTTGTTTTGCTTATATCTCGGCTTGCGAAAATGATAACATCTTGATTGTTTTTTTAAAAGGTGCGCCGTGAAAAGCTCTACACCAGCAGTATGAACAAATCTTGAGGGTGTGCGGGTATGGGTGCGTGGGTGTGTCGCTGTTGGTCTACTTTTAATCCATAGTCACACCTACACCCACACGCTAATATATGTCGTCTAGATATCACCTTATTGTATAGTTTAATTGATGGTCATCAATGGGATGAAAAAAAATATTCGTAATAACTTGCCCAAACTTCAAGTATTTCTACTCGAGATACAAAAAGTAATTTATCCGATAGCTTTTATTGAAAAAATTTCTATGAAAAAATCAACATTTACAATAATAAAGGAAAATACTCATCAAAACGTTTTGATCGAACAAACGGCTTATCTATATGAAGTCCTTTTAATTTAGCACAATAAAGACGTGTTGTATCATTAGTGAAGTTGTTTGTTACCATTGCGAGTGATTCATATTCGATGTAGAGATCCAACAAACAAGGTAAATGAGTGTTCGTATCGACGAGAAATTGCTCAGCATAATCAACATGTGCTTCAACAAGATTGAGAAGATTAAGATGAGGAAAATTAATTAATGTCGATGAATGTTGCTTCTCTTTGTGTGGTTCCACATTGCTTATATTCAACTCTTTCAAAAAAGGAAAATCATCAGAAATAATTTTGAATAATTGATGTTCAAAAGGACTTGTATCAGTCATTGTTAAGCATCGGACTTTAATAAACACGCCACCTTGAAAAGAATTGTTGAGATGAAGAAAACGTTCGAATTGATATGGAAGTGAATATATATGGGATTTCACTACAGCCTTTACTTCTTTAAAACTGAATTCGTCTATTGGCGTTCTTGGTTCAAAATGCACATATGAACCAACGTGTCCATATTCTCTTCCAATGAAACTATGTTGAATGTCTTCATTTGATGGTACATCAATATTATTATTCTTAATAAGAACACCTGTATTTATACTGAAAACAAATTTGTTTAGGTGCGACATATGAATAAGCACTTGATAATATAATTCAATACCACCAATAAAAGTTGAGTCGACCCTTATTACTGATAGAAATAATATTAATTCTTCAAGATTTATCATTCGACGAAGTAATGGAATAATCTGTTGATCATAATCATGTGTATAATTAATTGAAGTCAATGAGAAGCATTTCAACTTAGGAAGTTTTCTCTATAAAACAAAATCATTTAATCAATTTAATCTTTTTCCTCAAAACAATGTTTCAAATTTACGCAGTTGTATATTTTTGATGGTTTATATCTGATTCGTTTGACATTGATAGTTAGTTTTGATAAGCAATCGAAACTTCCATCAAGAAGATAAAGACAATCATTAAAAATTACAACATTTATTTTCAATTCGGTTAAAGTTGAAGATGTACAACTTGTTTTTGGTAGTTTATAAATAGAAATTGATGAATTTCGATAAGAAAACAATTGACAAAAATTCAAATTGATTAATCGTTTACATAGAGATAAAATCAATAGAAATATATTTGATGACATATCAGACAATTCTGATATTCTCTCATTCTGAATATCAATATTTAGGTGTGTGATTTGTTGCGTAAGAAGATCACGAAGAATTGAATAATCTTTAAATAAAAATTCATTTCATTAATGAAAATGAAAAAAAGCTAAGTATTAAAAATATACCTATTAGATATTGAAAAAGTATTTCTTCTTTAAAATTAACAAGTGACAAAGAGTAAAGCTGAGAATAATTGAAAGTAAGAATACGTTCTACTGAATGTTGTTCAATAGAAAGTTTTTTAACTTGATCATGAATTTTTGGTAAGATGTTTTCACATATGTTTGAAAGAACTTGTTCATGTACTGAAAAAGTACGATCATAAAATGAATTCATAGTCATAAATGTAATATCAAGATTTTCAATACAAAGAGGATCAAGTACTAATTGACCAAATCGTTCATCAACATCCACAAGTGAATAAAAAACATCATCAATATTCAGTTTATTGATAATAATAAATAATATTTCGTTGGGCAAATCGAATATATTTGGATAATTATTATTCGAGATATTCATATTTATGTCGCTATTCTCTTCATTCATGTCAATTGATATATGTCGAAATTTTCTCATTGTCGTTTGCGAGAACAATGACGGATAAATATTGACGTGATAATATTAGACTATGATGGATGGCTGGCTGATGGCATTGTTCTTGCTGCTTAACATTTTTCATTATTGATTAGTAGTCTATTCATTAGATCATCCTTCTCTTTGTCAAAATGTTTATCATGTGTTATGCTCTTTATCGTACGCACCGCCATCTTTAGAATAAGACAGAATATGTCAATATATTTGATTTGAGAATATTCATGTGAGAACTCTTGTTGAATGAGTAACTATAGATGGTGGATTAAACAATGTTGAACTTATCTTATATGAAATAATAATATATACGATGTTAAAATCTTTTTATTGATAATATAATTGCTAGTAACTGTTATTAGAAAACGTCGTTTCTGATAATGATATAGCTTGTAAAATAATAGCGTTGTGAAGATTTGTGTAAGAGTTTAACATGCGTGTTTTTGTTCTTATCAGAGGATGAAAAAATTTCATTTGTTATAACTAAAAGACTAAACTCGTAGATCGATAATTTATTTTCTAACTTCCAATAATTTGAAAATAATCAAGATTCAGTATATTTTTCTTGATGTCATTCTTCATTTCATTGTGAAATAAATCTTAACTTATTTAAAATCACTATTAGAATTAATCATTTATATAAATGTGAAAATAGTCTAACTAATTAGGAACAAAATGGAAATATCTTTAAAAAATTTAGAGTGAAATTTATTTCATTTCTATTCTTATTATAGATGTTTGGACATATTCAAATGTTCTATGTTAATATCTGTACTATTTCAGATGGTGTGTCATAGGAAATAATGTTGTCACAATTGTATGTAGACAATTTTCGTTCATTGATCTAATTCTATCTCATATCATAGTCTCGTTTCTATAAAAACTTTATTTATTCTCTTGTCTCTTGATTAGAGATATATTTCAATATTGTTCCTATAGAAAATCGATTGTTGATGAACATTCTCTCGTTTTCTTCCTGAGATAGTTCAACATCTAGATTTTTTCACAAGACTATATATAGCTGTTGCTTTTATTATCTATAAGATGACAAACGAGCTTTTTTTTAATTCAACATAAAGTATGTCTGATATAATGTCTATAAATAAATTTCTATAGAGAACAACAAAGTATTACGATTCTGACATCATGTTCAGATAATTGTGTTGTTTTCTTTTTTTTTGTCTATCTTAGATTTGCCAACATCTTCCTTATTTTCAAGGTGGCTTTTTCGAATTGAATACTTCTATAAAACGATATGTTATACGAATAGATTTCGTGGTAATCTCTCCATAGAAATATCGATATGTTTCTTCCATCTATCAACGATATCTCTGACAAAACCTATTTGAGAAACAAATTCAACGCATAAGTTAGATCTACAAACATATTATACAAACGAACAACACTTTCTACTAAGAAAACTTCAAAATCACGTAATGTGCACATGTGATGATGTACCAAAATGGGTTGCTGTTGAATATATTTATCATAATGAAATCTATTAATCTTAAAGATTTAGCTGATAGATTATATTTGAGAATATGAAACAGGTTCAGGTTGATTCATATTATAGAATAGTTTAAACATGATAAATATATAAAATAAGAATATCCAAGTAAATTAAAGATTATTTGACGAGGTAAACATAATCGAATTGAGTTCTATTATAGAATTGATATTCCTATATGTGTAAATCTAGTTGAATATCGTTTAATAAACATAGAATCTACAATTGGATATTTCGAACAAGAGGAAATCTGGAAACGAAATAAATTCTAAATGTGAAAAATGTTTGAAAAAATATACTCGATTTTATATAGAACAATTCTATAAGAATAGTACAGAAGAATATTTGATATGTACATCATCTTATTTGATTATAAATGAAAATAATCAAACAAGGAGAGCGGTCTGTACAACATACTGTAAATATGGTAGCTATAACGTGGCACGATAAAAGAGATGTATATATGTTATCAACTGTACATGATTCCTCAATGATATCAGTAGAAAAAAGAAAGTCAAATAGTAGTAAAGAAATTCTTTTACCATTATGTATAAAAGAATACAATAAAAACAGGGGTATTATAGACAAAGCTACTATGCATATGCAGTTTTCGGAATCCATTCGAAAAGCCAGAAAATGGTACAAAAAGCTCTTTTTCTACATAATCGATCTGTCAGTTCTCAATAGTTATATTTTATTCAAAACTATGAAGCATCAAAACTTCCAGCTTTCCAAATTTAAATTAGAAATTATTCGAGACCTCATCTCAAAGTACGACTCTAAGAGGTCACATATTGGCAGACCATTGAGTGCTCATCCACTACGATTGACGGCCAGACATTTTCCGTCTTTAATTCCTCCGAATGAAAGCAAACAGACTCCTCAAAGAAGATGTTATATTTGCAGCAATACTGAACGACGTGATACTCGCTACCAATGTACCGAATGCGATGTTGGTCTGTGCATCACCGACTGTTTCAAAGATTTCCATACCTTGCAAAGGATTTAACGTTATCTTATATGAATACGAAAAACTAGATCGAAAATAAACAACTATGATGATTTTCTGTAATTTTTTTTCTTTCCTTTATGTCGTCAGTTAAAAGGTTAAATCTCTTTATGAATTAATTGAAAATCAGGATGTTCGTCGAATCGTCGATTCATTCTTATTCGAAAAGTTTCTGGCCAACGTGATCGACGAAACTCACGTTTCGAGTAATGACGGTCATCAAAACTTCGACTTCTTTTTTTTCTATTCGTAGCAATTGGAGTGATCTTAATATCTTCGTTTTCTTCATCTAACATTGATGTCTGTCTACTGATTTGATTAGTCATTTTTTGTTCTTCTGATAAATGTTCGGTTAAAACATTCCATTGTTCATCTTCTTCCGTAGTTAAAGTTAATTTCACTGTCCATAAATAACGATGTTCTTCACATGTTTCCCCAATACGAAAAACAGCTCCCATCGAAAAGAGTACTTCGTTTTCTTGTTCAAAAATACTCTGATCACCGAGTTCAGCGAATGGCACTGAGTGAGGCAACGAAGTATCAATTTCAATTTCATATAATACAGATATCTGAGTTTCCAGATTTTCAACATTACCATCGCTAGCGAACAATCGAGCCACATAACGATCTGTTGTGGTTGATAAGAAGTTATTCATTGATATGAGATTTCCTTTGTTAACACGAAAATTATTTTCAAACTCATTCCTCGTCATAACTTGACCGCGATACAACTTTAAAATTGGTGTATTATTCCTTTGTAATTGTTTTAAATAATCAATTTGCATTAGAGCTAATTGATTATGAAGATCTTGAATATAATAACGCAATTTAAAAATATGGTCAACTGTTTCAGTACGAAGAACTTCATTAAGAAGACGATAAAGAAAACTATCATATGTGTACCATTTTGCTGCATCTTGTTCAGATTGATAGTTCATTTCAAATCGATCAATTTTTGCTAATGTAAATCGATCATGACTAAATTTTGTGCGACACATAGAAAGCATTTCTTGACGAGCAAAATCATTTCGATCTAATCGAAGTATTATATCAAGTGCGAGCTGAAAAGAAAGAAAAGCTTCGTTATTCGCTGATAAATCACGCACATAAATAAGTGGCTTAGTGGGCGATTGAAGAGAAGTTTTTTCTTTTAAAATAAATGTTTTCCATGGTGTTATTACTCTTTGTACAGCTTCATTAGTTATATCTACCACTGTCATGTTGACGTACCATGTTTCTTCAGAATCATCATATTCAACTTTATCAATACGAAA